AGCGCACTGACCATAAGGTCACAGCACCTCCTCTTCATCGCCATTATCTATCGCCAGCCCAAGCGCCACGCAAGGTCTCAGAAGAAAAATGTTCGAAGTTAGCTCTTTTGTGTAGTATTTGTAAATTTTTACTTTAACTTGATTATTTTTTTTTTTATTTAAGGATTACCAGAAATATCAAGCTAAAGTACTGAAGCTGCAAGAAAGGGAAAAAACTCCACAGAATCAAGTTAAATTGGATGCGGTAATATCTTACGACTTGTTTTTCCCTTCACTCTTTATACCAATTTTCCAGAATGTATGCTGCTTAACAAATAGATTCCACCTACGACTGTTCAGTAATAGAGATTTAGCACCGCGGTTACGTGAAACGTGAACGGCAAGAGTGACCACGTGACCTGGTTTTCCCGCCATTTTTTCACGTTGGCCGGTTGCGCTTTGCCGTTTCTACGTGAAAGTAACCTATTTCGCGTTTTCCATGTACGTAAGAAATGTCTTCACTTTTTCTCTCACAGAGTAACAGTAAATTGCCGGGAAAAGTGCACCCAAACTATTCCTTGTAAGTAATACAAGAGCGCCTTCAAATTCACCTTGACGTGAGCTCACGCGAAACTAAAGCAGCAAGGTTCAATCTATTTTACGCGAAAGGTGAAAGGACAAGCTGACGTTTGCCGTTTCACATAAACGCGTGCTAAATATCTCTAATAATAGATCGCAAATGATGTCAAATTGTTATAAGAACAAAAAAGTACTACACGACGCACAGCCGAGTGTGTCATTGATGTTATTACCGCATTTTTTTATCAGCGCTGCCACTGCGGTGATTTAAAGAAGTAATCCCAATAGAGGATGGGAATACGAAATGACACCAGATCATAATTGAGGTTAATCAATCCTTGCGTTTAATTTAGAATAATCAAGCATTAGCAGCGGCCAAACTGGATTATGAAAAACAAAACGCCGTCATGTTGGAGGTATGTCGCTGAGGTATCAAAGTTTTTCATGACTGTGCTTTGGGAAAAACAACCTCAATCGAAATTCGTTACATTTTCTTCATCCCACCCCCCGATGGGATCTGTATCCACTTTGCTAGATGTAATCGGGGTTTTCTGTTTGGTTGGTTGTTTGTTTGCTTTTGTAGCCAGTGAATTATTTAGGGACTCGGAGACGTGAAAAGACTTTTAAAATCCTTTACATTAGTTTGAATATTTCCTTCACTGTTCTCCGTGTAGTCGTTGAGGTGCTGACGAGGAGAATTTTGAGTAGCAATCAAGAGCTTCTTCTCTTGGTGATCATTTCTTTTATTCGTGTGGCCTTCACGTGTGATTCAGGGGGGATATCGCGGGGGAGAATTTAGATGCTAGTCCCTCTTTGGAGTCAAAGAGATGAAATGCGTCCCCGACGTTCATCATGGACATTTCGTTAGTCCCTAATTTACTGGTTGCTAAAAGAAAGCAAACAATTAAGCAACGGCAACACGCTAACAAACGTTTGAGGATAGGAATCTTTTGTCTTCTTGGGGCCACTAATCCCAGACAAGCGTATTAGGCACGCCGAAAAGTTGTGGCATTCAGTGTAATTTTTGTTATTTTAGGATCTGCCGCAACTGATCGATGGTAGAACAGATTACTTTGAACCTTCATTTGAAGCCATGATCCGATCCGGGGTGAGTACATGAAATGAATGAGCACATGATTGTACATGAAATAAATGAGCACATGTCTTAGGATCCATCCCAGGAAACATTAGATGAGGAAACTGTCAAGTCCGAAATGACAGACAGAATGCAGAAGGCACAAAATGATATGAACGTAAATGATTATTGCAATACTTTTGGCTCATTTGCAAGTGAATGTCGAAAGCACTGTTTCGTTGGGATTGGTCCAGAAAACTTGCGACATCTTTTCGACCAATTAAATTACTACTTGATCGCCTGCGTTTTCCCGCGCTTTAGGCTGTTTGAGTCCAATTTAGGATGAGGCGCTTGGTGTTTTGACGCTTACACCTTTTTCGATTTCGTATCCAGGCAAGCTACTACAGTCAGGCTTCGCAAGTCCTTTCCGATCTCACCAACAAACTGGGCTGGAAGAAGGAAGAACTCTCTGACGAGGATCGTCAGCAGCAACTCCAGCAGAAACTAGCTGAGATAAAATCGCTGTCTATCGTGGAAGATGGTTAAAAGTTAAGAACGAAGTGAAGAAAGAATGAGCAAACGGATTTGTGGACGGGAGGACGTGATGGGTTTAGGGCTAAGCTGTGTACCGTGGACATGGAAATGGTTCGTTTCATTAGCGACCATGATTCTTTAACTGACAAGAAACAACATCTCGCGCTTGACTCTCATGATAATTACCATTCCGGTGGTTGGAACGCCTGTAAAAGTAACTAAAAACAGTTTTTTTTTTTTTCAAGTATACTCGGCACATCTGGACAATTAGACCACATGATCAACAACTCGCATCTTGAATTATTGTAAATAATGTATTTTAAAAGAAGAAGATTTTCAATACACAAAATTTCGTTTGATTACTTTCTCTTTTCTGTCTCTCGCTGGAATTCATCAACAATAGCTGTGTTGTTTTCTCAATCTAACTGTTACTAGCTCAGTCTAAATTGGAACTGCTGCTCCAGCCCCACTAAAGTTGACTGCCAACAAGCTCTCAAATTTAATACGTCATGCATTGATTAACACTCTTCCAGTATCTGGGTGGCGCGGGTTCGAATGCCGTCGAAGCCTGAATTTTTTAGGGCTTCTTTTCTGTAATCACATGTAAGGGTCATCTTTTTACTTGACTCAGCTAGCTGCGCCACCAGTGGCGGATCCAGGGGTGGTTGGGGCGGAGCGTTTTTGTTTGTGTGTGTTCACCCTCCGGCTCTTCATCCCTCTGTGTTTTTATTTTTTTTACCCAAACTAAAGGGTGGCCCGTGACCTCCTCCCCTAGATCCGCCACTGGCTTCACACTAATGATGCAACGCTTGATCGCGGGTCACAAAATTGTTGGCTCGTGGCAACCCACTTCAGTAGAGCCCGCGAGCAGGCTCGCCTTATCGCTGCGAAACGGGCTTGTGTCCTCACCCACGCGAAAGTTCATGGCGTCGAGCAAGGCGAGTTGGAGAGAGTTCCGAGAGGGGTCTGATTATTATTGCCAGACCCCATACTAACTTCTTGCCTGCTCCTTTGTTACGTTGTAACATTGGGAAGAAACAATAGATTAAATTCTTTCAAAAACCGGTGGTTTTGTTTTCATTTTTCACATAGAAATGGCGATCTTACGTGGACGACATAAGCTTCGACGTTATTTCAAACTTAGCATTCAAAAGGTAGCCGCTCTCTCTTGTATGATTATCACCGTCATGACCATGTACTTCCTTATCGACTTCCGAGATTTCAGCAGAGATGATTTTCACACAGAAGAAATCGCATCATTTTCCAGTCGAGCCAAGGTCACTATGACTAAAATTGCAAACATAAGGAAGAGCCAGGAGATTGCGAAAATCGAAGAACACTTCATATCCATTTGCTTGACATGGAGGACAGTTTTAGAGTGGAATTTTAACTCAACCACAGAGAAACGAATAATTGCCTTGATGAGAGCTCTTTCGCCGGCTTATGTACGAATTGGTGGTAGTGCCAGCCACTATGTACATTTTCAGTCTCGGGAAGAAGAAAAGAGTCAACCTTTTGGGAAAAAAACTTTGATCATATCCGGCGAAGAATTAGACAGAATCAACCGGATTGCAGAGAGCGCCGGCTTCAAAGTAATTTTCAGTTTGAATTTATTAAAAAGATTTATGAATAGCTCATGGGATCCAAGCAACGCCTTAAGAATAATGAAATACGTCGCATTGAAAGGATATAAATTTGGATGGCAGCTTGGCAACGGTAAGAGAAAGAAGTGTTTATCAGCATATTAATGTTACTGCTTTTAATTGTACTAATGATTACTTAATTTTAACTCCCGAACTGAGTTGAACCTCAGGGTCAGATTTAAGAACTATGTCATCATTGCATAATTCTTGCTCACTTTTGCGGAGATCCATTTACATGACCAGCGGAAATGAATTTTGCTGCAATTAATATTCCACTTCGGCGGCTTTTGTCCTCGTAGATTACTCAACATAAACTTACAGAGATAATCCTCGAAAATGACTAGGAAAACCAAATTCGGTAATCAAATCATAAAAAAATTCTAATTGTGGATGGCAATCCCCAAAATGTTGTGGATTTCAAGAGAGGATCCCCTCTTGGTGAAATGTCAATGGCGAAAAATTTAGGGCCGATTATTTAAACGAAATTTAAGCGACGTTTATGAAAGTCACCGTCTTACCCTTGTATCAACTGTGGAAACCGATAATTTAAACACTGATCGTCCATAACCGTGTTGAGACCATGTTTAACCACGGCTTAAAGAAAAATAGCGACTTAGACCTGCTCTAAGATAGGTTTAGACGCTGTTTATGGAGCAGTCATTGCCAGCCACTTTCAAAATAGATGAATTCAGTGTGTTTCAGACAATTAAGGGAGCACGCCAATAGAAGTTACCTGTAATCTAGAAAAACTCGGCAACTTATTGAAAGTTATAGTCACCACTAAATTTTCTCCGGTTCATATTGGTCTAAATCGATCACGTGACGCGATAGTGTTCATCCGTGGAGAGACACTACCAGCCCATAGTGCCCGCCCGCGGAAAATACCCGGATGGATAGTGCCCGTCCGCGGAAAATACCTGGATTGATAGTACTCATCCGTGAAAAGTTTTGAATAGTTTGACGGCCGCGAAGTTAGGCAGATCGGAAAAACAGTGACTTTTCAATTCTGACAGGTATAACGTATTATTTAGCCAATGTACGGTTGCGAATTATTGACATTTGTGACAAGCTGTAGGCGCGGAAGAAAATTTAGTGGTGAACAATAAAAACAATAGAGTGTTTATGTCTCGGAACTATCGGTCTGATAGTTGCCCCTTGGAAATTTGATGTTCTTAAAACTAGCATATTTG